GTTTTCTTTTGAAAACTCTTCACTTAATTAACTTGAATAAAAACTTTAACCCAAAGAGGTTAGTATTAACAAAAAATTCTAAGAAATTCCAAATCCACTCAAATCCGTCCCCACTTACAATATTACAATGCATCTTTGTTTATTTTAAATCGTCATCACAATGGTTCTGTAATGTGCAAAGGCTGTTTCGCCAGTGATGATTCCCCACGCGCTGTGAGTAACTTGTCTTATTTGTTTAAAAAACTATAATATCGATTTTTTCATAACTAATATTTTTTTTATATATTTATTGTGTCCGCTAACGCAATAAAATTAATTTGCTCTAATTTGAATGGTTTTCACTTCTATTGTAAGCCGCAGTCGTAATCATGTTATAATGTTTGTAACCAGATAGATTTATGAAGTTTTATCCAAGCGTAATATTCTTAATCTTAACTATCCTATTGAGCACGATATTGTAACGAATTGGGATGACATGGAAAAAATTTGCATCATGCAATTTATAACGAACTTCGTATTGCTCCCGAGGAACATCCTGTACTCTTAACTGAAACGCCACTCCATCATGAATCTGACAGGAAAAAAAGCATGAATCTAACCGAAAGATGTATGAAACTAACCGAGAGAAGATGACTCAAATCATGTTTGAAACTTTTAATGTGCCTGGCTTCTATGTTGCAAATCAAGTAAACTATTATTACAATAACTTATTATTCGTTTTATATTGATCAGTTAAATTAATATTCATTGTTTTATTGTTCTTGACTCGGGTGATGGTGCCACTTATGCTGTACCAATCCATGAATTCCAGACTCTTCCCAATACGATTCTCCATCTCGACCTGACTGGACGTGATTTGACTGAATACCTTATAACGATTCTTATGGAACGTGTTATTCATTCACGACTTCTTCTGAATATGAGATTTTTCGCAATATTAAAGAAAAGTCTTATGCTGCTTTGGATTTTGAACTAGAAATGCAAACTGCTGCTCAATCAGCTGCTTTAGAGGAATTCTATGAATTGTCCGATGGTCAAGTGACTACAAAAAAATTAATTTATAGTTAAAAAACATTTTTTGTTATCTAAAAAAAATGATTAATTTAATAAAACCTTTAAAATTTGTTTGCAAAAGTTATTTTCTAAGCCTATAGTCTAGAGATCTATTAGGATCTATAAAGCTTTAAAAAGCAGTTGTATACTAAATAAAAATACAACTAATGATTAGTACAAATTTTGATCTATAGAACTAAAAAGAATTTTTTAATTGCAGATCTTTTATCAAAAAAATAGATTATCTATATTTTCAAATTTAGTAAAATTTCTAACTATAATAGCTAGAATTATTTATTTGATTTATTTATATTACTTTCTGTTTAAAATTTAATAACTTAGAGTTAGTAAATGATATTATATCAAAATTTTGTAAGAAACTCTTTTACTCAAATTTTTGATATAAATAAAATTTTATAAAAAGTAATTGTTGTTTTAATTATTGCATTATATCTGGTCTTGCTCTTAATTAGCTAAATTTACAATATTAAAGAGTAAATTAGTAAATCTATATATTAACTTATTAATTTTATTTATTTTATTTTTTTAAATTTTATTATATTATATTATTATTATTTTTTGTTAATACTAACCTCTTTGGGTTAAAGTTTTTATTCAAGTTAATTAAGTGAAGAGTTTTCAAAAGAAAAC